TTTTCTGCTACATTACTTTTGATCGCCACTGTATGTACGTATATGCATACAATGATACCACGTACGTACGTACGTACGTACTGCGTATCGTTATTTTTTTGAATTTGACCAATAAAGTAGTTGTTGGAATAAATTCAGATTTAGACTTAACAACTCGAATTTAAATTCGAAGCAGAATAAATTCAGATTCAAAAACCAAATTCGGTTCCAAACTCTAAACGTGATTATGTGATTACTGTCAGTGGAATGTGCGCAAACCTACTATGCGTATGTAGTTACACGTAGTACGTACGGGAGTGATTTCCCTTTGTTTAATTTCTGAATTTGGAGTGTGTCACAGTTTAATTTAAGATTAGGGATTGAAACCTCCTAAAATTCAAGTATTAAAATAGTTCTGTCACATGACCAACATAATTCGGCCCGGAACTATGAACAATTATTGAGTTCCAATCCTGGATATGTATTATAAGTTACTTTTCATGCATTTTATTAGTGCCCTGAGATCGGGTTAGACGGCCGGTATTTTCATTTTTTTCTCGTAAAAGATCATGAGCAAATTCCCGTTTTGCTCCGCTTTTGCTCACCCAAATTTGGGTTTGTGTAACTCGGAGTTCGTTTTGAAAAAATTGCTATACTAAAAATAGGCATCAGATAAATTAAAATTTGTTTTTTTTATTTAAATTTGGTTATAAAAACAAAAACAAAAAAACGATAGGTTTCTTTAAATACTTATATTAATTTTCATATAATTTAAAAAAAACTTTTCAAAATTATTAATATCTCGGTGGTTTTTTTGCCTCTATGCAGAACCAAAATGTGTACATTCAAGAAGGAAATAACCTATATGCTCAAAATGTCCAAGAGCCAGATATTTCTAATGGTGGAGATTTCGTTTTGCTTAATATAGGCTCTGAAAAATCTACACAACACTGGGGTAATGCTCCAGAGAGACAACCTCGTCGTTATGTTAAACAGCGTATTGAATTAACTGATGGAAAAAATTTGGTGTTGGAGTGTCCTATTCCTGCAGACTTGCTTGGAAGCATCCCGAGAAAGGACATGAGGGAATTTACTCATATGAGATATACTGCATGTACAAGTGGTCCAGATGACTTTAAGAAGAAAGGTTTTAAACTTCGTCAAGCAGAGACAACACCTCCAAGATCAACTGAACTATTTATCGTGTTAACTATGTATAATGTAGGGTGATTAATCATTATTTTTAATGATAATATTGTGAAAGATAATATATATACATTTATTATAATAATAGGAAGATAAAGACTTGTTATCCCGCACTTTTCACGGTGTTGTGAAAAATATAGCTCACCTATGTAGTCGTGAAAGGTCTAGAATCTGGGTAGATGCACGATTTTTTGTCATTATGGCCATCTTTGAATTTGTAAATTTTTATTAATATATTTATTTAACAAACTTTTAAACTTTTAAGGGTGAAGATGGATGGAAAAAGGTCGTTGTGTGCATAGTTGCTGATGGTCGTGAAAACATAGACCAAAGTTCTTTAGCTTATTTGGCGGCTCTCGGTGTCTATCAATATGGTGTTCAAGTGGGTGAAGTAAGGTCTGATCCCGTTACTGCACATATATTTGAGTATACAACCCAAATTTCGATTGATAGTGATATGAATGTTAAAACGGGAGAGGATTCTGGTGTTGTTCCAATCCAGGTACTCTTTTGTCTTAAGGAGAAGAATGCTAAAAAAATTAATTCACATCGATGGTTCTTTAATGCCTTTGGTCCAATTCTTGAACCTAATATATGTGTTCTTATTGACGTTGGTACTGC